GCTGCAAAGGAGCCCAGTTTGATGCCTCTTCCTTTAGCTGTAGGGGAATCTCTCCCACCTCTGGCTACCCATTTCAACCACCCTCTTTACTCCCATTTCTCTCCCCACACTGTGCTATAGTCAGCCCTAATTCCCTATGTATTGTTTACCTATTCTTTGGTCTCACTGGCCTAGTACAGTGGTAACTCTTCATGTTACTACTGTCAGATCCTGGAACCACAAGCCTTATTTTTTTTTTTACTGTTCCTCCATTCACTAGATGAACAATTATAGACTTAGGGGCTTTCTTTCATTGCCAAGCAAACTTATAATTATGCCAACTGTGTGTGTGTGTGTGTGTGTGTGTGTGTGTGTGTGTGTTAGAGATATGGAGGTGTAGGTATCTATGCCTGTTCTTATGTGCATATGATTTTAGAGACCAGAGATCAACTTGGATTTAAGACAGGGTCTCTCAATGGGATTTGGGATCACCAATTTGTCTGGGCTCATAGGCCTGCAATCCCTACAGTATTTCTTGTCTCTGCTTCCCAGTACTAGGGTTACAAGTGTATAACACCACACCTAGAATTTTACATGTCAGGTGGGCATCAAACTTGGGTCCTCGTGCTCCTATGGCAAGTACTTTACCAATTAAGCTATCTCCCCAGCCCCCAAAATGTAAGGTTTTGATAGGTATACTCTAGTTACACACTTAACCTGGCACATAAGTATTCCTGTCATTGGTCAATGCTAAATGACTTTTTGAGCAGTTGTCCGTAGTAGACACTGGATCCCACTGATTCCTACTCTTATACAGAGCCTATGTCTATTGATTCTTATAGCTTCTTCAGCTCCTGCTTATTTTATTGTCCACTGTGACCTCACCATTGGAACCCAGAATAAGGTCCGCTGTCACCCAAACCTCATGGGCATTCAGCAGAGCCCCAGTCCACCCTTCTTATTCTGCTGTTGCTGCCTGGTTTCTCATCTTTTACTTGCAGACAGGAATTTCCCGTTGTTCTCAGATCAGGTAGAAAGAGACATGAAGGGAGATTCGGGAATGTTTTAGGTTCCCCTGCTGGGAAACAGGGAGAAAAGAAAGCCCGAAAGAAGGAGACTGTAATACCACAGAGCCGTGTTGTCCTCATTTCTCACGGTAACAAATCTTATTGTGTGCACCTTTCCTCCTTTTTTAAACCATACTTACGTAGGTTTTAATGCTAATACCGTCCAGATGACTGATCAAAGCTTGATTCCTTATTGCCACCTGGCTAGGACATGTGTAAAGCTTTAGTATTACACTTTTATAGCTACCTATTGTCATTGAGCTATGGCATCTACTGATGAATCAAGGATTCTCATCTTGTTTTGAAAGCTTCATGGATAAAGCCTTCAGAAATGCTAGAGGGCCTACAGTGTCTAGCACCTTTGCACACACGGTGTTCCTCAAGGATTCTAGTTAATGGATAAAGTCTTAGTTTTCCAGGTTGACTTTTGGTACTGGTAAAAAAAAAGCCTTCCAAAGTCCCCTGGTCTTCCCAAGGCTAGGGAGCAGTAAGAAAATACATTTCATAACACCTAGGTACTCCTTAAATGATTGGGTGGATAGGCACTGAGTTCAGTTTACTGAGAAATAGACTTTTCCTTAAAGAACAAATTGACTTGGCTAGTAGCTCCATATTTGTCTCAGCAATCATGATGTTGCATATAGCAAAGAGAGTCTAACACAGATGGCCAGAGATAGAAGCTTCAGGGTGACAAGTTGGGTCCCTGGTGAATCACTAAATGAGCCCCCCTGTTCCTATATGCTGTGCTACAGAATGGTTGTCTATTTCCAACTTTCCATGAGTTTTTCTGAATTGTCAGATAGGTCTGCCCCCAAAGACTTGGTATTTTGTGGTGGGTCTTTCCTGTACCCTTTGGTTATAGGGACATGAGTCATCCTACCTGGGCCACCTGCTGAACTTGTATGGAGTTTGAACAGCTGTCATCCTTGTTAGAACCCTTGCTAAAAACTTTCTGCAGGTTTTCCTTTGTTGACCGTTAAGGAGTATTGTTTTACCATTTCTTATCCCCCTGGGCTTTTCTTTGTGTGGTAGAAAAACAATATAACTGGACAGGGGTGAGGGCGAGTAGTGCGGATTGTGGGGGTGGGATAAAAAAAGTGGTCCATTTTCAATTTGTGTTGAAGGAGCCAGATTGCTCAGTTGTTTTATGGGACATAACACGATCACCCAAGCTGTAAGAAGTCGGTCACAGTTTAAGAGATATGTTACAAGCAAGATAAATAAAAATAGTCTGAAATATCAGGCCAAGCTTAATTTTTTTCACCTCTGCTTCACACTCTTCCCTCATTCGCAGACTAATCAAAAGAAGCCCCTTCCGCTCACAATTGCTCTGTGTACATTTCCCCCAGATCTGCTATTCATATGAACAATGTGGTTTATTTATATTTCAGCACCAAATTGGAGAGATGACATCATTCATTTACAGTCCTCATCCCGTGACATGCCTACTCTCCAACACCTCATTTCGGCAGACACATTTGGGGCTGCATATAGCATCTTGTTTAGCTTGTGCATTCTTTTATGGGACACAGTTCAAAGGTAGGGAGCTTTAGGGATTGGCCCTGGTAAGAGAATGACCTCATAAAGTCACAGGGGCTCCCCTGAAGGATAGGGCATTATGATGCTTACAATAGCAGTGTTATCATTTGTTCATTTAGCCTCGATCGCTCATTCTTGGGCTTGCCCCTTCCTTATCCTCCATCATAGATCTCATGGCTCCCTCCAGGCCCGTAGAATCCTATTTGGAAGAAGCTGTTCCAGATTTATTAGTCAATGAGTTCAAAAGTACAGTCCTCCATGGCAATGCTGGGGCTTTAGGTGTGAATGCTGGACGTCAGCATCTCATTCTAATGGCAGGGATACTAAAGAGGGTCTTGTCCGCAAGAGCTTTACTGCCCTGCTCTTTCTCAGAGGCCTAATTTGTCCACTGGGTCCTTCTGACACATTAAGTGGACAAACAAAGAATGGAAATGCTATCAGCCGCCAAAGGTTGCCTGGGATTTTTTTAATTTAACTTTTAAGTCGTTCTTTTTATATTTTTTGTCATATGCATGCATTTTTATGCTCGCATTGGGACCTTTCAAATAGTGTACACATTTTAAAAGATGGAATGAATAAATCAGGAGGCATCCTTTGGCAGGTAAAGCTGGGACATGAGGTATTTCCAAAGCTTAACAGACCCTGTATGGGTACTTAAGGAATAGCTGTTTCTATCTGTTCAACTGTTTGCCTTCTCTTCTAGAAGACAGACAAGGACAGGGGCCTGGAGATTGAAAACTGGAAGACCCAGAAATGCCCATTTCCTTTGTCAAGAAATGGCTCTTGGGGCTAAAGCCCGTGTCTCCCTTTACTGCCTGCCAAATGACAGTACAGTAATTCCTCCAAGGAAAGTTTGGAAAGCACAGTTGTACATGAAAAATACTGTGAGCATGTACTCTCTTTGGTCGACAATGCTCCTTACTATTAAATACTTATTATATTACACAGTAAAATTCAGACTGGTTGGAAGCCCTGTTGGCCTCCACCTCCTGGCTCTCTGAGAGCACTGATGGTTCACTGTCATCTTGGACTGCTATGGCAACCCACACTATGTCCTCAACTCTTGGTGACCTTTCCTAGTGAAGAAAGACATGGAGCCCCTGTCTAGCATGTCAGCATCCTTCATCCTTCTAGCCACTCCTCCCTGCAACAGTATCAGCCTGGTGTCTGATTCTGCAATCCAAGCTCCAAGGGTAGGCACAAGGAAAGCTCTTAGAAGAGGCTGAGAGTATAGCTGCATGGCAGAAAATATGCTCAGTATGTACAGTGCCCCAGGTTCAATCCCCCGCACCGCTATAGAGAAAGAAAGGGAAAAAAAGAAGAGGGAGGCAGGGAGGAAGAGAGGGAGGGAGAGAGGGAGGAAGGGAGGGAAGAAGGAAGGAACGAAGGAACGAAGAAAGGAAGGAGGGAAGGAATTTCAGGCAAAGGACACAGCATACACACAGGAGAAAGTTCTACAGCAAAGAATGGCAGCAATGATGGTTAGTAAAGAGATTTGACTGACACTCACTCCTTACAATAATTCCAGGAAAGGAACGCTCCCATTTTAGAGGTAAGGAAGTCAAGGCTTAGGAACAGTTAATGCTCTTAGGACAACACAACCACCAAGTTAAGGTGGAGTAGCACTTGCATCCATCCGGCAGTGCTGTCCTTAAATCCAGACTCCCTGACTTCCCAGCCTAGCTAATTTCTTCCGCCCTTTTTAGTGGGATTCAGGCGTTGTTTGTGCTGCTGTGGCCTCCTTAAGTCATCCCTGCCCTGCTTCTCTCCCTGCATCATAAAGGAACACAACCCCATGGCTCTAGACTTAACCATGACTCCCAGTCTCCCTTAGGACGAACACCACATGGGTAGAGCAGCGGCTTGTTTCCCACTGACTTTGCACAAAGAACAATGGCAGCTAAATGTCTGTAGGCAGCCTTGCCGGAGGCAGCATCATCATTGCAGCAGTGAGCCGAGCCATCCGTGTCCCCGTGCTTGGCAGCTTTGGACTGGACTCCCCTTCCTTGTCCCTTGAGAACGGTGCTTGTCACCCTGTGTCCCCACACAGCCCTCTCCCAGCATTTCTTCCGGGGCTTCCTTCTGACCTTCTCCGGAATGTAGGGTGTGACTGTGAGCACCTTGTGGTTCCTAGCTCACCCTGGATCTCTGGTTGTAACTTAGGATGCATCCATCCCCTCCCACACCTTTAAAAAGAGCATCTGCAAGTGCAGATTTCACATAGCTAGCTTCAAGAACGTGACTAAAGCTTCCTTCACCAAAGCGTCTCGGTTAGGTTTCCGTGTGCCTAGAAGTGAGAACTTCTGGAAGGAAGTAAAGGGAGACCTCCTTGTAGGTGCTGTCAGTGCGCCCTGTGTCTGTGGGCCTTGTTGTCTAGCTCCTGATGGGATCTTTCCTGGTCTTCCTTCTGCACAGACCCAGAACAGAATGAAGCTCATGGCAGACAACTATGATGAGGACCACCACCACTACCACCACCACCACCATCACCACCACCACCGATCTCCTGGGAGGTCACAGCATTCCAACCACAGGCCCTCTCCGGACCAGGTCAGTTTCATTACTGCTTACCTCTAGGACCCCTCTTACGCTTTGGATATTTTAAGATAAAATAAATAACCCTCAAGAAATAATAAACAGCATAAAGTGATACGTTCTTTGAACTGAAACTAATAGCTTTGGTATTTATTTCCATCACTCAAGGAATCTAAATGTTTTCCTTTCTCCTTCCTCTTTAGGGTTTTGTCTTTTCTTGTTTATGTTATGCACTCTCTTTCCTCCCTCCTTTCTTCTTTCATAGATATGCAGCCTATTGCTGGCTCCTATCTAAAGACTAGTTACTTTGGAATGTCTCTTTCCAAGTTTTGAAAGAAAGCACTCTCTTCCTAAGAGCTTGGCAACCAGGGAAACTTTTGAGTTTGCCTAGCACTTTCCTAGAAAATCCCTCAGAGATGCAAGTAAATGGTGAGGTAAACCACCAAAAAGACAAAGCCAATTTGCTGGCCCTTTAGTCAGTGAAGTCAAGGAGCCTGGGTATTTGCTTTGGAACCTATCTTTTCCCTTAACTGAGGAAAGCAAGAGAAAAGATGAAATGACAGGACCAAAAGAGGAAAAAAAGAAATACCAGAAGTTTTCAACTGTGTTCACATTCACCCACTACATGCAAAATATATATATATATATATGTATATGTATATATATAGTGTCTAGTGTTAAAACTCCTGATGGTAACTCATATGCAAAATAATAACAATATCGTCAATATTAGTAGTTTTTCTTCCTTTACTGTACTTTTATCATGTATGATCAAAATATAGTTTGTATAAAAAAATTCTAGTAGATGTGGGGCATTAGGAAAAAGACACAGAACCATCTGAATAAGCCAGAATGTCTCAGACACTGGTGAGAAGCACTGTGGTTTTAACTGTGTGTAGAGGGTGTCGGTGTTTGCCTAGGAGGCTGCACTTGCTATAGTCCTGAAACTTCAGATGCCTCTCCTCTCTGGCTTCACATCACTGGCATCCCAGGGAAGTTAGCTAAGGTCCAGCCTTTAGAATGTTTTGTCAGGAACAAAACTCCAGGGGGAGCCAGTTATATAGAGCACACAGCATTGAGATCCCTACCTTTGTACCCTGAAGAATTTACCCTCAGAGACCCCAGCACTGCAGAAGGTTTCCTCATAGGACTTTCAAATCACATGGCTTTCCAAAGCCATGCACAGGAAGGTGTTCATGGACTGCATCCCTCAGGAACAGCTCTAGAGTCTAGTGACCTGGAAAATGGAAAGATTAATTGCATGTCATTACCTTACATGTCCTTGTGTTTGTTTGGTTTTGTGTTGTTCCGTTTTTGCCACTACCTTCGCATGCCCACACCTACTCATCCCAGCATATCTGAGATTGCCCACCCCCTTGGCTACTGCCCTTTGTTCCTTGGCATTCTCCCACGAAAGGTTGGTGTGAGGCTTCACTGGAGGGAGGCCTGCAGACCTCGTGTTGGCTGTCCTTCCAAGCCATGCATGCCAGAAGGCCACCCTGGATGTCCCTCTCCCCACAGACACAGTTAACAGAGAGAGAGCGAGAAGACACCAGGAAGAATTGGAGTGAGTCACACAGGGGCCTGCTGGGTAACCAGATGTGCGTCCTAATGTGGAAACGGTGCCCAGATCAAATCTGTCTGCTCTGTGAATGGTTATGTCTTACAAAAGCTGAACCCATGGCCGTGGAGTGCCTTAACTACCCCCTGACACTTAGGCATTGACTGGCTGTGGAGTGTCTTGGCTACTTGGTTGGCCCCTCACATGTGCCTACAACACTAAAGGTTTCCACGAGGCAGCAGTGATTGTGCAGTGCTGGGACTCCAAAAATGAGTAAATATTGCTGGAACAGTGTCTGGCTGAGACATGTCCTTAGGACCCTGGCCACTCTTTGTCACTACTGTAAGCAGTGAATGCTCAGAACAACTCTTGGGCATGGACATGGTGGCTGCATCCTCCTCGGGTCTGGGGAAAAACCCCATGCTCCAAGAGGAAGTCTACCTGGCTGGATTTTAGTTGCCAGTAGTTTGCTCTGTCAGCTAATCCTATGAAGCAAGTGCCGTGTGCCAGCCCCATACAGAGCCTGGAGAGGAGCATGCATGTGGTCCTGACAAAGCCCTGTCTTCAAGGTGCTCACCGTCCATTCCTAGGACAATAATGCAGGCCCCTTAGTGTTTACGTGTTTTTTTTCTTGCCCTATCAATCATAGTAAGATAGATAATTAAGGTCACCATTTCTGAAATTGCAGTTGATGGTGAAAGCGAAATGGCCTTACCCTAAGGGGACTTTTACAGTTTTAAATTGGAGTCACTAAGCCTACCACACTTCACCCCTGGTGTGATATTTGGTTGGCCTCAGAGGTGGAATTATTAGACTTCCTAAGCCAGATTCCCTGTTAGACCATGGCCATCAAATTATCAACAACATAGATATCAGCATGGGCATCCTTACAGAACTCAGTAACAGTGTGTGACAGTTGGGAAAGCCTAGAAAGTCTTTCCCAACTGATTACTACCCCTATGCATGCTTCTGTAAGCTGTGTATAGTGATTTCTTGTGGGTGGAGCTACACCTATGCATGCTTGTGTAGGCTGTGTATAGTGATTTCCTGGGGGTGGAGCCTCACCTATGCATGCTTGTGTAGTCTGTGTATAGTAATGCCCTGGGAATGGTACTACTTGTTAACAGGAAGTGAAAAGCCTGTACCAGAATGTGGCATCCTGAGAGTCTAGACCCTGAGCTAGTTGGGGTGAGATTCTGCCTAGTGTCCACTGTGCAGAATTAGCTGAGCTGACTTAAAGGAAAATGACCTCCTCCTATGAGTCTTCCAGTCCTGGCCGTCTGGTAGTCATCGGGTTCAACCAACCATGTCTTCTAGACAAGTGGCTGCAAACTGTTGCCATTGTTTCCTAGGTTTATGAAGAGATCAGAAGACACAAAAATGAGAAACTATGAAAAATCAGTCACTTTGCTACGTTTCCAGAGAAACTCATTTTTTCCTCAGGAAACACAACGATTGCCAGGCGCTTACATACTTATATTCTTTTTCCATTTCTTCCCTGTCCCTTGCCCTTTACTATGATTTTTGATTTCTCCTTGAAAGAAACTGAATCTAAGCATTGTAAGTCTAGACTCACGTTCCCCCAAGTAACTTCTAGAACATTAGTCCTGTGAGGGAAATCTTGAGACAAAGAATTTTGGGAAAGTACTGTATATTTTAACTCTATCTCCTAGCATCCTGATGCCATTAGCAGATCAAAGGATCTAAAATGGCATATTATAAAGAAAGCTCTATAATTTTATTTAATCCAGCATTTCCCAGACTTATTTGATCATGGTTTTAATTTTTCTTTCTGTAACATCTGTGCTTTGAGAAATTGCGTACTCAGGCTATCAGGTGGAAAAAGAGACTACCTGGTTTAAAACATGACTGATCCCATTTCTAGCAGTGTTTTCCTGGGAAGGAAAAGATTTTTAGGCACGAACCCTAGTAGTTTACATTGTGGGAAGTGAAAATGCCTCTTCCATTCATTTCCTGGAGACTGAGTTATCTCACCAAGAACCCAGATGATCAGAACTACAGGAGCCACTTATGATGGGGACTCAGGTAATTGAGAAAACTCATAAACATGCAGCCCGTCAGTGATTGCAAAGTACGTAAGGGGATAGGGGAATTTGAAGAAGCTATGACAGGGCCTTATTCAAATATTCTAACCCCTACCTGAGAAAGGAACAGTTAAGACCTGGAGGCTAGCCACCCCAGGATGACTACAGCCATCAGATATGTCCAAACAGAAAAGAACTTCCCAACAAAGTAGTAATGATGTAGGAAGCCCCTTTATCCAAGAAGTAGCCACAAAGGAATAGAAACATTTCCCATGACACAGTAAAGACCAAAGGAAATGGAGTATGTAGAGACACATTAGTGATTCAGTTTTTATTGAAGTTACCAAGATTGAGTTCATAAAACCAAGGGGGCAACACAATCTCTCCTAAATGCCCTCCACACCTGCAGTCATCAGTATCACCTGTTATTTTCTTTCCATATGTGTCTTTCTCTGCTGTAAAGCATATCAGTGATACCAAGTCTCTCTCTGCTTCCTCTTTTGTGGGCATCATATAACGTCTACTGTCCCGGACAAGGGCATACTTTAGTAATCTCTTTTCATTGTCTCCCAAATTTGTACTCGCCCCACCAATGAGAAATCTGCATGGCAGAGTGACATGCACACTTAGACCAAGGATAGTCAGGCCAGTACAGCCAGCCCCTGTGCATCTAGGAATCTCCACACTTCTATACTGGGTGCTGGGCTGGGATGATGGGTCTATAAGGACCCAGATCTCAATGCTTCCTCACTCTAAATGCAGCTGTCCATGTAAAAGCATGGTGCTCTGATTACAGTGTGGAAGGGGGCCTCGGGGACACAGAACCTGAGCGTTTTCGAGCTAGAAACCCTAGAGCACACAGCACCTTAAGAGAGCATTAGAATAGGCTTCTGTCTTCTCCCTCCCTCATTCACTGAATGGAAAACCCAAGCCCAGGAGATGGAGGGGCTAAGTGCATCTCACTACCTGCATGATTTCCAGATCTTGATTTTTATTTTTTATTTTACTTACAGAAAACCTATTTCTCTAGGAGGGCCATAGAGTCTGGGAGTATGGAGACAAAATACTTATTAGAATTATAGAAAAAATACAAGGTGGTTGAGTTCTATATTGATGTTCTTTGTTGGATATTGTGAAGCACATTTCCATCTGTCTGACTCCCAAGTGCACATTCAATTAATGTTTCCTAAAGGATCCATTCCTGTAATAGGTATGAAAAAGAAGGACAGGTGCAATTGTCCCTGTCACACAGGTTAAGAGCTGGTGTTTGGAGAGATTGTTCATGATCCAAAGATACATAACTGGGCTGGAGAAATGATTAAGTATTAAAAGCACCTGCTGCCCTTCCAGAGGACCCGAGTTCAATGCCTAACATTGACTGGAGTGGGCTTGGAGATGCCTATAACTCT